GGACTTCTTTGGTGCAGAGGTCCACACTATGTATGCCATGCTTGCACACACTGACTGAGGCCCACAGGTAGGACAGACCTACCACACTAAGTTAGATGTAAAGTGGGAATTTGATGTTCCTTTTGTTCTTGTAGCCCTGAACAGACAACTTGGTCTGCTGTTACACAGTTGTTGCTCACTTCTGAAGAGAAAGGTAAGCAATCTGACCTCTGTTACTTAAAATTACACTCTTTTGGCATGGCAATGAATCCAAAGCTATATACTGACAGAAAATCAAGGGAAAGAAATTCCCAACAAATGCAGCTTGGGCACTTGAGACAAATTCAATATAATGATTCTCATTTTCTCCCGTTTAACTTAAATATTGTCAAGGACTTGTTTGGGGGGCCAGAACTTAGAATTTTTACAAGTAATCTTTTATGGACTTTCTGAGAGGTGACCTTACATTTGGGGTCTCTTTATATACTTTTGAAGGAAGGCAAATAAAAAAATATCGAAAAAGAAACCTGTCTGTCATTAAAAAAAAGGCTTAAGATCAGCTTGGTTTCGTTCTCCACATAGAACATCGTCGCCAACCACTCAGAATACAAGTAGATACAAAGGAAGCGTACCGTCCATCAAGTCAAAGCTTGGCCAGTTATGTTACTTCTACCAGTGCCACACTGACACATCATTTTTGAAGTTCGCTGACAAACCACAACTAACTAAAAACATGTCACCAAGTTTACATGCATGGATGTTTAAGCTCATATGTGCTGTCAATTTTGCCATCTTTTCTGCCTTGCAAGGCCGTGAGGAAAATGTCTTACTTGATTTTTGTGACATGGCTTCACTTGGACAGAAAACCTAGAAAAGAGTCAGCAGTCATCATTATGTATTGTTTCTGCAACCAAATTTGACAGAAAGTGAGCCATTTCCCGAAAAGCTCTCCAGACTCAAAAGGACAGGAGAAACTCAACCTCAAAAGTTGTAACAGTGAGTTGAAAGTTTTCATTTTTTAAATTTATTTTGTATCTCTGTCCTGTCTCTTAAATTGTGATTCGTATTCATTTTACATGTCACTTACATTACATAGTTAACACCTTTTCCTTATTCTGATAAACAGGGTTTAAATCACGATTCAAATCAAATTTGTTTCTGAAATTTATATCAACATTAGAAAATTAACAATTGTTTTCTAAATGGGAATAAGTGTTGTCATGCATTCAATTTTTTTCAACTGATTTGCATACACATTATAAATGGAAAATAACCTTCTGTAGATGTACATCCACAACACAAGATACGGATCAGCAGGAATTTCATTCAAATCATTACTTGCTTTGGAATATATAATTATAGTGACTTCACTCTTATGAAAAGCATGTATTTTTTATTTCTATAGCTTTCCAAATTTTACTCAAGCTTCACAGCAAGCACGATGGATGAGCTGATAAAACGCAATAAAGGGGACATTGAGGTCTTTGTTGATACTTGGCTTCTGACAAGGAAGAGGCCAAACAAATTAATTTTGCTCGCCAGGGATAAAATTTATTGCGATTACTCTGGCAAGGGAGAGGCAGACAACAAACTTTTAGATGAGTTAAGAGAACAGTTAAATGACGGGCAAGCTGAGACATTCAAACTAGTCACAAATCACTCTCTAAATCATGAACGTGGCAACAAAGTAAGAGAATTTTTGGATATACACAAGAATGTGACATTTGAGATTGCAGTAGCCCATGTTCATAGAGGGGCAATACATGGCCATGACCGCCTTGTACTGAGGACACTCAGAGGTAAGGATTGGCCACACGTAATAAGACTTATCCTACAGAAGGATGGATGGAATGGATGGGATGGTGCATGGACAGGACTGAATCTAATGCAGTGGGATATGGTAAAGGAAAGTATTCAAAGACCACAAAATTGTAACTGGGAAGAAGACTTAGAAAGAAATGCCAAGCTTGAAGATTGGGAAGATGACTGGATATCTCGTCTCAAGAGGATAGAAAGCTGTGGCCCTAATGATTGGGTAACGGAAGTTGTGGAGTTTGGAGATGGGACAAGCCGGAATAGAGCAATGCAGTTGTTGTACAATTATGGTAGGGGTGGACTTAAACATGTACTGGAAAGCATTGATCCTGACCAGGATGACGGAAAGGGTTACGCTTTTCTGCTGTATGTGCTTAAAACCTTAAGACCAGATGGAGTTTGGAGAAAACTCAAGCCTAGGGGTGACAGTGCAGCAGAAAGCGAGATCAGAGTAAGTGTGGAAGAAGTATTGCGTTGGCGCATTGTTGCAGACTATGTGGCACAAAAGGAACTTAAGTATCAGCAAGATAGACAAGCACAAGAAGGAAATCAGGCTGAAGCTGCAGCCAAAGCCAACTAATCAAACACAAAATGAAATTTTTTCTTACTAGGCACAGAACTAAGCTTCCCAACATGCCACCTTTCACTTAAGAAAACAACAAATTTGTTTGACTTCTGAAAGCATCTAAATCAAATAAATACGGGCACATGCTGAATACACCAGGTCACCTAAATCATCCATACCAGTAAGGTGTAGCTTGATAAAACAAGTAAAGTTTTGCACACACTGATTGAACTGAATTTCTGAAGTAACGTCACCCACTGATATATGCAGCCAGAAGAAAACTGAATAAAGCATCTCTAATAACAATCTGGATATGAAACAAAAATTGGGTTAGCTTAGACTTACTTAGCTTAAATGTAATGTACAGTGTATGTTCAAAATTTCTATGGGTTTTGAATGGTGTGAAAATTTACGAGTGAAAAGAAATGTTAATCTTACAGGAAAGTCAGCCGAGATTGTGAAGATTCCAATATCAGCATGTATCAATGGTTTTCTTTGGGATGAATATGTAGAAATATTTCACACACTTTGTATGCTGAATCAAAAAGTCAGTAAAATTTGAGAAGCCGTAACACACTAAATCAATGAGAAAATTGAGGCAAGAAATTATACACACTGTTTGATTATTCTTGTTTTATGTATATGTTAACCAGTTGTATCAAGCTGTAATGTTTTTGAATAAAACACATCAAGGCATGTAACTGGTTTAGTGTATAATCACTCGGAGCTTTTTTTCTTCACAGTCAAGGGTGAAGGAGTGTAATTACATCATTAGTCGACAAAAATGTTTGTTCAGATTTATAAGCTTCAATTTAATACATGTTCAAATTTTCTATTAATTATTAGTTGTAGATGCTACTTGCACTTCATCCTTCTGCCTCAACAAATTAATAAGAGTTTTGGATACTTGATTAAAATATATCAGATTTTAGGATAAAATAAGATATTAGCCTTAGATATTGGTTCTTGTTGATATATGTACTCAGTGAAATGAAGCAAAATTACTATCATTTGTGGCTACAGGTGAACTTGTGATTTCTATCAAGTGACTTTAAATCTTGGGTTAACGAGGTTGCATCTTCTCTCAAAGGAGTCAATGTTCCTTGGCTTTGTGCCTTTTGAATGGCAAAGATATGTACACTTAAGCATTTATATTATATTGAAAGGTCTGTAACACTTAAGGGTTATTAATAAAAAACAAATAGCCATTTAATCAACATGAAAATTAAAGACAAGATGAAAAATGATATATTCTACAAATTGTTCTAGACAGGCTAACCAGCTGCATCAGTGACATCACTGTATATATAGTGATATATCGTGGTTGAACTTAATGTTGTATAAAAAATAAGACATGAAACTGGCCAAGTTTATAAACCCTCGGTGCTTAATTTCCACAAGCAAAAGTCAAGTAGTGTTATTCAATAGTTAACCCTAACAGTCCTCAGTCCTCCAACAGGTGAATGATTGAGGACCATTATGGCTATTAGAAAAACTGTCAGCTTAGACTTAACACCTAATTATTTAAGCTGTATTAGCCAGTTATACTTTGTGCTCCTGCATCAACTTTAGGATAATGTAAGATTTTTAGATCTTAGATATTGGGTCTTGATGGTATTTAGGGAAAGGTATTACAATCATTTGTACCTAAAAGCCAACTGATAAGTCATTTTAACACATTGTTGTTTTTGTCAAATGATACTTTAAACTCTTGAGTTAAAGACGTTGCATCTTCTTTAAAGGGATCCAAAGTTCCCATGTTTTGTGTGTTTTGAATGGCAAAGATGTCTACACTTCAGCACCTGTGGATTCAACCGTGGGCGTGCATGTGTAATAACTAAGCAATCAGGGTTGGCAGACATCTTTGTAGTCATTTTGGCTCACCAGCTGTTTTAATTAAAATCAACTTTTTTTAACTCGACTGTGTGAATAATCAAAATATGAATTAATTTGATTAAATGTATCCAACTCTGAACTAGATTATGATGAAATGTGACTACATGTAAGCTTGCCAATTTTTTTCACAAGCTCTCGGTCAAGCATCGAGTAATCAGTGTTTATAAACACAAGTACATATGTCACGTAAGGGCAAAACCAGTATAAATTAAAATTAACTTCTCCCAGACACAAAGTACATCTTGATTCTTGACATTAGTGAACAAGTCCAAACAGAGTCCAAAATCACAAGTATTACACTGCTTGTATTAGACACATTAAATATTGTCCTACTGTGAGTAGTAAAGAATGACTTAACTGAAATTGCCGTGTCACTCTCAACATATTTTATGGATGCAGCATGTGATAAACCTTGCCATTAGGGCGTAAATAATGCTAACAGCGAAAGTCCTGAAAGAAAGGATAGTCTGTGCCCCATCACAGTTCTTCCACAGCATCAGTGCCCTCATCAGTTACCTACTGGTTAGGATAATTTGCATTTCATGATCCTGTTTCGTACAAGTGGATGCTAAATTTCTGGCTGGCTGTCAGTACAAAATCAAAAGAAATACAGAAGATCCCAGTGTCTCAAAAATCCTAGACAGCTATCAAAACACCAGGCAGTAATGCACAATACTAAATGAAAATAAAACCACCTTTAGAATTAATGGGACAATTGTACATTTTGAACAAATTTGAGGTAACATCAAAAACCAAGCAAAGGGTGATTTTTCTGCAAAGTGTGCCCGCTCAAAAAAAAAATACAGGCAAAATGAGTGGTCGACTGATAACCAGCAGTGCCACCATACTCCAGGTCCTAGTTCTGAATAGTCTACTACATGGTCCAAACCATCCTTCAAAGCTGCACATGAAGTTCAGTTCACTCTACATGTAGATTCACACAAATTTGAAAAAAAAATCACACCGACTCATCTAAAAACTAAACAAACACATACCTCGTCTCAGCAGTAGCCCCAGTAAGCAAAATCCAAAACCACTGAAGAAACCAGTCTAAGGCTCAGCATTACTTGGA